GATGTAGGTGAAGTGTATGTTTACAACTCCTAAACGCAGATGTTGAATGACAAAGAAAGAAGTGCTTGCAGTTATAGTCTTTGTTAAGCATTACAATATTATTTGAATGATAGCAAGTTCACCTTCAACATGTATCATGTTTTGCTGAAGTACCTCATGAACTTTAATAATCCAGAAGGAACGATCTCACTTTGGATCACGCAGGAGTATGACATGTTCATATTGCATTGTCTGGGAGTAAAACGTAGAAATACAGATAGATTAACTTTCCACATAGTGATACCACATCCATTTATTAAATGTCCTGATTTGTGGCATCATAATGAAATAAAAGCTCTTTTACCTGTTATACTCCAGGCGATCCCGCTGGCAAATGGATACCAAAATTCACACATCAAGAGTTCTTAAATGAGTAGTTGAAAGACTCAGAACTGGGGTGAGCGCTCCTTGCCATGAAGCAAGGTAATGCATGACTAACACAAGTTCAAGAACGTAATGTGTGAGTGTGCAAGCAGTCTGTGGCATGTCTATGAACAGTCACGGGAGCTCAATAGCATGCTGTACTAATGTTATTGATCACCTAGACGTGGGTCTCACCTTTTGTTGCAGTTAATGGTTCCACAAGCCCCAGGAACCAAATTATCTAGACTTTGCATGAAGCAAGGACTGAAGGCCACCAGGACGTCATAAGCACTAGTGTAAATATCCAACAATGATTCTATGGGACATGTTTGAATCGTGAAGTTCAACAATGGCAACAGCACTTCACCACATGTTCAACCCAGATCAAAATCCAGTTAAGACAAGGGTAAATTCCAGTAATTAATTGTTGGTTCTCCTCTCCAGAGAATAATCCTGAATATCACTGGTCCCTTCCTAAAGGTCTTTATTCATTACTTCACTATTTTGTGTTGGCAACAAAATAGATTCCATGTTTTGGAAGAGATTCATATGGTTCAAAGAATTGATTTTCGTATTCAGTTATCCTCTGATTTGGCATAGTGTTAGGGTTGGTTTGTTTGCTTGTAGTTATGCACAAAGCTACACAATGTGCTCTGCCATCCACGGGTATCAAAACCCGGTTTCTAGCGTTGTAAGTCCGCAGACATACCGCTATGCCAATGGGGGGCAAAAGAAATCAAGCCATGCATTGACTAGTGTTAGGGATAATGAAAATGCATACTTCACCTTATTACCTTACATTTAATGGTTTGGCAGAATGTGTGATGCAGATTATCAAAAGTTGAACAGTCGTGTAATTATTAAAGAGCTTATTAACATATTATTCAATTTAATCGAGCCAATTTTAAGGATGATTTATGGTATGCATCAAACAAATATTTAAGTTTTACAAGAGTGTTTCTTTGTTTGTTTTTGAATTTCGCACAAAACTACACGAGGGCTATCTGTGCTAGCCGTCCCTAATTTAGCAGTGTAAGACTAGAGGGAAGGCAGCTCGTCATCACCACCAACTCTTGGGCTACTCTTTTACCAACGAATAGTGGGATTGACCGTCACATTATAACGCCCCCACGGCTGAAATGGGTGAACATGTTTGGTGGGACGGGGATTCGAACCCGCGAATCTCAGATTGCGAATCGAGCGCCTTATCCACCTGGCCATGCCGGGCTTGCAAGAGTGTATATCGAAAATCGAAGTTATGGAAAAATTAAACGATATTACTGACCAAAGGCCGCCTGTAAGTTAAAATGTACACTTAAGTTACAAAACGTTGTTACCAAAAGACAAATCGATTGATTAAAAATGTTCTGCAACAAATTTGTTGCAAGGCCACGTAGTGTAACTTTCTAAAAGTCTGAATTAATATGTATATAAATATACTTTCGCACACAAATATATATATATAAATATATACAGATATGATCTTACGTCAAAGTATAATTTTAAATGACATAATATTTTATTACATGCAAGCCCACTTACTTCAATACACTAAAAATATTCAATTTCACACTGAAATCAAAATTTAGGAAAAAGTCCAGGTTTCGATACCGCGGTGGGCAGATAGTCCTTTGTGTAGTTTTGTGCTTAATGCCAAACAACAATAACGATATATAAAAATATGAGCTCGGAATTAACAAGGTTACAACGAGGACACTCATACGATAACCTACTATACGAATCTGATTTTTAGAAATGTGAATACGTTCTACTTGTGTGACTGTTTTGTGTTTATCATTCCAGGTGGCAGACAAACAGGTCAAGTATCCGGCTCTACACATCCTGGGTTACATCCTCATCTACAGCAGCGCATCCATCAATCCAGTTATCTATGGTGTCTTTAATAAGCAGTATCGACAGGCTTACAAAACAGTTTTATTGTGTCGGCGTCCGCGCAGTCTCAGTGTTACTGCAAATGCTTCTAACCCTAATGAACACACAACTACTCACTTCACCGCCGTTTCCAATGTCTCTCAGAGTACCAAAGACGATTCGGTATTCGTTGATGAACCAGTGTAAGGTTTTGTATTTTTTTTAAAGAAGGTTTGTATTTGCTATGAGTAAATGTCTCTCAAAGTACCACAGAACGTTCGGTATTTGTTGAGGAACGAACTAACGACTGTAAGGTTTTGTGTTTTTCAGAAGGACTGTATTTACCGCGGGAAAATGTTTCTCTTCTACTAAAAAAATGTGTTTTCATTGTTTGTCAGAGTTCCAATCAGGATTCAGTTTTTAATGACAAAACATACGGTATGAAAATGGTTGTAATGTACCGTTGTGTTTACCATAAAAGTGACGCAAGCTGTCAAACATTACGCATTTCTTACCAATGTTTCTCTACACACTAAAGAGGACAGGAATGTTTGTTTAGGAACAAGGACGGGTTGCTTTGGAAGTGGTCACAAACGTCGTAGAAGAACCAGGAAGAATCCAGTATTGTTGACAGAAAATTGATTTAATGATTTTTTTTTTATTGTAGAACGAGTACATATCCTTCAACACTGACGTTTTTATCTTCTGAACAAACGCTATACATCAGCTATAGCCTGACTTTTGTACATCTGATCTCCTCACCTTACTAACCCCAGTTATCTTTCCAACTTACTGAAAACAAAATATTTACTTGGTGATTTCACACCAAGAACAGACATTTATATTTACTTGGTGGTTTCACACCAAGAACATACATTTATATTTACTTGGTGGTTTCACACCAAGAACAGACATTTCATGTTCATTAAAGGAACATTTTTGGCTTTAGTGTTCATATAACCCGGTAAAGACACGGTACTTGTATTTTATATTAAACATTTATTTGACAGTTTTGAATTTCGCCTTAATTAATATAATCTATGTTTTATTTTAAGAAAATTATTTACTCTGTGTTTTGTAACGGAGTAATTTGGACAAGGTTTTCAATATCGTAAAAGATTGATGCTTCTTGTTGAATAATATATATTATGTCTCTGCTATATAAGAAAGTACTGCTATTCTAGAGTTAAATTAGTGCTCATAGCGTTATTTCGGTCCCAGTACGTGCTATTTACTTACATTTAGTTCACCGTGTGACCTAGTGATTAACGTGCCCAAACTGTGAATAAAAGGGCTCACAATTCGAGAACCTTTTACAAAATCGCGATCGCACACTTTGGAGATGTGGATGCGTTACAAGAGTGACTGTCAAATCTCACTATTTGGTCAGAGAAGAGTAGCCCAAGAGTTGGCTGTGGATGCTGTTGACTATCTCCCTTCTGATTAGTCTATCAGTTCAAAATTGGGAACGGCTATGTGCATATAACTTTTGTGTAGTTTTACGCGAAACTTTTGATCAAACAAAGAAACGTTTATTGCGTTTCTGATAGCATTTAGCTGTTATCACATTCTGTCTGAAATCCCTAATGTTTTAAGTAGTTAATGAGACTTATATGAATGAATTATAACCATTTTGTACAGTTTCTTTATCAGACGTCACAAGTACCTTCCAAATATGATGAGAGTTATGACGTAGATAAAACAGGCTAATTCTGCCGATTTAGGTTGGGTTTTTGATGGTAACTCCACATACTTCATGGATCATATGCTGTAACTTTTTACATATTTTATTTTTCGCCGAGGCATAGCGGCTCATAGAATGACTCTGAGCTTGATTTACTGCTATAACGTAGAGAAAGACTGAATACATTTAATGTAATACTAACTGAGTGATTATATTTGAAGTAACACTAACTAAGTGATTAGATTTAATGTAACACTAACTGAGTGATTATATTTAAAGTAACACTAACTGAGTGATTATATTTGAAGTAACACTAACTAAACATGAAGAAAGAATCATGGTTCAGAAGGTAATCATTTGTGCCTAATTTTGCTCTATAACTCAGTCAAAAATGATCGGATTTTGAGGAAACTTGGTGGATATATGTGGAATATTATTCTTCATTATTCTGCCGAAAACGGTCCGTGTCCGTTGATAATGATTGAATATGATCAACTCTACCGAGTGTCTCTCAATATTGTGATCAACATGTTGAGGAGCTACTAGTTTTGTAAACATTATGGTGAAGAACTATTATTTCTGTGATTAACGTGATCAAAACGTTCTATTTCTGTGATCAAAAGGTTTTATTTCTGTAATCAGTATAGCGAAGAGTTACGTAAAAATAAAACCGAACAAATATGTATTTTTGTATCGTATTCTTGTTCTGTGTAACCGGAAATGTATGATACTTTTCAACAAGGAATATTAAAATTGTTGAATAAAAAAATACAAAAATGTACTCTGAGTTTGTATGTCCTTTAAAATTCACTGTTTTACTGTGTTTTCTGTCAAATAATTGGAGTTAATATTTTAATCTTTAAGTAAAAACCGATGATATATTTAAGGTCACTTTAAGCTGTATAAAAATCAAAGTTACAGTGAGAGATCTTGTCGAAGTTTAAATTCCCAATATTTACTAATCATTATACGTTTATTATTGTTGTTTTTTATTTTCTTTCAAAGACACAAACTGTCTTCTCAGAACCACTTTTCTTTTCAGGTTTGTGAAGACTGGCTTCAATTTATCTTGTAAATCGCTTGGCTTGTTGGTTGAGAAACGATGGTTGATTCAACGACAATAGCGGCCATGGAGATGTTGAACGTTACAGAAACAGAATCATCTTTAATGCACGAACGCAAAGAGTTTATGTACTTTGCTGCCTTTTGCATTATCGTATCGATTATTGTTGGCTTGAGCGGTAACCTATTGACCATCGTGGCACTAGTACAATGTCCAAGAGTACGCAGTGCCCCAGCTGCTTTCATCATTAGCCTCTGCGTTGCTGATTTTTTGTTCTGTGCTTTGAGCTTACCATTCAGTGCTTCTAGATTTATCCACCAGAGATGGATCCATGGTGACGTCCTGTGCGTCATATTCCCCTTCATGCGGTATGTCAATGTCGGGTTGTCCCTGCTGTCCATCACGGCGATCACCATTAATCGTTATGTCCTTATCGCCCACCAGAAAGTTTATGAAAAGATCTACCGTAAACGTTACATATCACTCATGATTGCCGCAGTTTGGCTGTTCTCCTTCGCTATGTTGTTACCTACACTAATAGGCGCATGGGGGCGCTTTGGCTACGACAAGAATATTCTAAGCTGTTCCATCCTGAAAGTAAACGGCCGATCTTCAAAGACATTCTTGTTCATCTTCGGTTTCCTCATCCCCTGTATCACCATCATCGTTTGTTATGCCCGTATTTTCTGGGTGATAAAAAGGAGTGCCAACCGAGTTCGTGGCCACAGTAACTCGGAAACAAAGGAACAGAAGAAAGACCGGGATGCAAAGAAAAGGAAAGAGGAATGGCGCGTGACACGAATGGTTCTCATAATTTTCTGCTCTTTTCTCGTTTGTTACCTTCCTATTACTATTGTAAAGGTAAGTATCATTATTGTAGTATAATGTACTTTAATTCAAACTTATACCTAGCAACTATATCTTATTGTAGATTTTTTTCTAAGACAATTTTGGATAAGAATGAAATGATCTGATATAATATTCAAGTCTTTACTGATACATCATATATTTCACAGAGAATTTGCTTATCAGGAACATATAGATTGCTGGGATCGGGTGTGAGCTTTAGTGGTAAGCGTGCCGGATGGTGAATCCCAGGTTCCATGGTTCGTAGCCCCATTGTTCGATTACAGTAGTCCAAGAGTTGGCAGTAGGTGTTGTTGACTAGCTGCTCTCCCTCTAGTCTGTCAGTTAAAATCCAGACTAGCGCAGATTTCTCTTGGCGCAAATTTCTGAAAACATCCAAACCCAGACAAGTCTGGATCGTAGCTGTTAAACACGATATCAAAAGAAATTTTCGTCTACTAAAAAAAAAAAAAAAAAAAAAACAAAACGACAAAAGTATTTTCAGAACATTTCAGGGAGGTGGGGGGTGGACGAGTCATAGTTACAAGTACCAGGTAACCTGAAACAGAATGGTTCAGAAGGTAATCATTTGTAAGGGTTGAACGTTAATCTGAAAGTAGTCTATTATCACAAAGACTACAAACATGAAGAAAGAATCATGGTTCAGAAGGTAATCATTTGTGAGGGTTGAACGTTAATCTGAAAGTGGTCTATTATCATAAAGACTATTTAACAGCTATTGGAGATTTGTGACTTTTCTGTGACCCTGATCTCAAAAAAACTAATTTACTGAGCCGTTTTCCAGAAATCTTGCTGAAAAACACGCACACAAGGGTGAAAACAAGTGACGGAGGTAACAACTTTTCATTATAAACACAGAACTATCAGCTCCTCATCATGCTGATCATAACTCTAGCGGCCCCTCACTATGCTGATCATAACCCAAGTGGCTCTCACCATACTGATCACAATCCTAGCGGCTCCTCACCATTCTAATCACAATCCTAGCGGTTCCTCATCATTCTGATCACAGGCCTAGCGGCTT